TTTTACTGTCCTGATGTAAAGCATTACCAGTAGTCTGTCCATGCTACACCACCTTTAAATTGTATATATAATTTTATAAATGATATAGAATCTGTTTCTAGTCCATGAAAAAACACACTAGCATTGCACACTGCAATCTTGAAAGGATTTAAAATATGTGATTTCTGCTGGTACCTACTGTATTGGGTTTTATATAAAGCTTTTTTCAATAAGGTAAATTGTTACATGACAAACTCATCTTCTACCATTATCATCTGCTGTTTGTGTTTAACAACAGGAGTCCTGGTCTAACAAAACTGTTGTAATGGCTGTACAAATTACTCAGCTGAAAGCTTTTCACCAAACCAAACAGTATTAATCAGCAGTTCTTATGAAGGTGCTAATTAAAAACAATTTTCTTCCTCAGTTTGCAATACTAAGCCATCTTCATTTGCAGAGTTTCCAATATACAGCTACTGTATACACTCACACTTCAGGGCCTCTATTAACTATTGAATCTCCTATTACCTATTTCATTACATTCCTGTCTCCCAAGTTTAGAAGCTTGTTGACATTTTAGAAGTCACAGCATGATATGTTTAATCATTTTAAAAGTACATTAATTGAAGTCAGAGTCAGGGAAAAATAACAGGTCTTTTAGCCTGCAGGCTCTGGCAGGGCACACCACAGGCTGAACGTTCAAATCCTTTTCTGCTAGCATAACCCATAACCCAGGGGCAACATTTTGTGACTGAAGGGGTTCGGTGCCTAATGCAGAGGACCATTTTTTTTGGTCTTGTTTTTAATAAGCAATCTTCTACAAGTGACACCATGTTGGTTATCTGCAGGGAAATGCATGCAAAATAAAAGACACTTTCTGTTACTGAAGGTCTATCGCTCCTTTGCTGTCGTCAGCCATGACAGTTCTTTGTTTTTGGGGGCTTGGCATCTGTTGAGTTTAACCCAGATTCGAGGGTCAAGATGTTTCTTCTCAGGCTGTGGAATGCCATCTGGACTACTGCTCCGTGCATCTTCCCTCTACTTTCCCCACTCTTTACACACAAGAAAACAATGAAGATCCAATGCTGCTGTTGGACAGAGATGGAAAATCTCCAGCTTTTCCCCAGCCACAACAATACGCTGGGCTTTTTGGCAGCAAGCCAGCTGCTGACTAAGCAAGGAGCATTTAACAGGGTAAGCCCTTTAAAAATGGGAAAGAAAAGTTAGGTTTGTTACATTCAGCTGTTTCAACAGAGTCCAGAGGTCAGAGAGGGAGATGAATCTTGCAGAGGAGATGCTGCACTTAGTCTCACAAAATCCGGGGTCAGTTCTAGTGTACTGGCTGATTTCTAAATGGCTACAGGCAAAAGAGACACCAATACTGTCTCTGCCTCAGGTTCCCTTGTATAGGGAATGGGCACGATCTGGGGGAGGTCCTCTCCTTTTACTTAAACATTCAGCTGCAAATTCACTAAGTCAGGTATTGGCTAGCTTTCAGCTTTATGGGGTTTTGCATCAGGCTGTCCTCATTTTGGCTGGGTTGAGTAAGTGCTGTTGCAGTGCTGATGAGAATAACATTGAAAATCAGCTTTTAAAACTGACTTTCAAAAGATGCTGGTGTACTTACAACCAATGTTAGGCTACCAATTTGCAATAGTGAAGGCATGACAGACTGTCTTAATCAGACTCAGGAGAAACTAAAAAAGTGACTAAAAAGACAGAAAGCAACAAAATTGCCTCTGAGGAAACAACGTGAGATGACCACACTGTGCAGAAAACACTTTAGATAAAACCACCAGCACACACTGTCCTCGCACCCTCCACCAGCATCTCAAAACACATCACAGGAATTACAGGAATTTGCAGTTTGACATCACTGATTTAAAGAAGAAAACCACGCATAGAGAAATCCAGATTAAACTATGCACTTATAATTTGCCCTGTGAAAAGACCAGGGACCCCATTACTTCCCCTCTTATGTTAGGGAGAATGGGTGAAAGTCATCAACAAAACGCTGCTCTGTTTGACTTGCAATGTGTGGCTGCCTTTTCCCTCTTCCCTTGCTGTGGCACTTATCAGCTGTGCCGCCTGCCATATCAAGAGGTGGATCAAAGGCTCCACCCACTGCATCCTCTTTTGTTCAGGGAACAGGGAAGGAGAGTTGTAATGGAGATATAACACCTGATAAACCGTACACAGCCAGGCTCAAGATGTAAGGATGCTTTTCATGGGGGGAACAATTTTAATCCTGCTTCCTTCCTCATGCAGACATGAAGCCATTAAGCCACAGGCAAAACGTGAATGGCTTGTCTACTAAGGATTTTGCAGCTGGACTGCTACCTGGGGTAGTAAATTCTCCTGCCTCATCTCACCTTCTTAAGATATTTTACATTTCAAATCAAACTTCTTTCCCAAACAGAAAGATTTGTCCCATTGTTCCAGATAGGACTAGCTTGCAGGTTTTTTTAGAAAGCCTTTGCCAGATCCCACAGCAGGAAATGGAATATTTTTTTCTTGGTCTTTTATATTCTGAAGATCATAACCCACTGCCAGTGGTACCAGCTGCATTAGGACTGCACCCAGGGGAGTGGATGTCCACAAGAAGATCATTTCTCTCTGCCATTTTTCCCCAAGAAAGAAGAAAAATACAATGTTGCTTTAAAAACTACCAGCGTACGACAAGGAAGACTTGCATCAACCTAGCATTTCCATTCTCAGTGAAGACAGTATAGCTCTTGCACGGTGTCATTCATCTTTGAAGTGCTTTGCAAACACAAAGTAATTAAGCTCAATATTCTGTTACAGAATACAGTTAACTATATCATTAAAAATATACCAACTATCAGGGACTAGTTACAGCACATCACATGAAAGGCTCTGATATACTTTGTATGCATGATCTGATGAACTGCCTAACCTTTTCTTAGTAAAGATATTTGATGTATTAATAAACATTGTATTTTTATTAAAATTTAAGAGCTCAGACACAATTAATCAAGTCTCTACTAAGACAAGGGATTCTGAGAGTTGTCTTTAAAAAAGAACAGTTCTGGTGCCTCATATGCAGGAAAGCCTACATCTGTGACTTTTCAATATCCATTTAAAAAACAAACAAACAAACAAAAAATCAAGAAAAGAGCTTGCTCATATACCTCTGAAAATATCTCCACGGACCAAACCTGCAAGCACTTATGTAGATGAGTAACTTCACTGCCTGTGGAGCTCCAATGTGAGTTTGCAGGATGAAGCCTAAATGCATCATTGGTAAACAAAGCCATCAATTACACACTTTAGGGATGGGAGCACCTGTGCAAAGTCTTCAACTCAAAGGACAGACACTAAAGAAATAAAAAGCAATTATCAGCCACTGATTTGAGTAAAACTGTTTTCTTCTTAGAGCTAAAAACACAATTTTCAGTGACACTGGTTTTATTTTTGGCAACTAGCAATCTTTATTAGATTATTGTACAGCAGACATTCAAGCCCTCTCAAAAATAAAGGGTTCACAAATTTTAATATTTCACTACTTTTACCGCTTCTTTGTTGATTATAAAGACTTCCTTGTACATGTTTTTAGAGAAAACAAAGGCACTGCTGTGTGGGACAAACAAAACAAAACTAATTAAACTAACACCACCTTCACAGCAATTTTAAATTACTCCTAAATGCTTTTGATCTCTTACTGAACAAGTATCTTCCAACAAGACTTTGAATATGAAACTCATACCAGCTAGAGGGGAGACATACTACTCAGTTCTAGGATAAATGGTTGGTTTGCATTGCCCCTGGTCTTTATCTAACACTGAGAATAGGCTGCTTTTTATCAAAAGAGGAATAAATTGCTGTTATTGTGATGTTAGCCCATCACTTGGCATTGCAATTCAAGTTTTTGTGAGAAAGAAATGTATGATCTAACTGCAGCTTGACCTATGCCTTCTGAGATCCATCTAGGTGCTCTAATGGAGCATAAAAAGTATTGAATACAAGGACATGCAAACCGGTAGTGAAGAAATTTGTTTGAGAAGAAGAGCGAAGAGAAGAGGGGACTTTCATGAGCTTGTGGTTTACATGTTGCCCAATTTGTTAAATATGGAAGACTGCTTATTGCCAAACTGCAGTTCTTTAATATATTTCAGAATGATCCTCTACACTTCCTTGCATCTAGTTCCTCCCTCTCTCAGTCATGGTCTCTGCCTCTCTCTCTGCTTTCACTGTTTTAAATGTGTTGTGGTTTAAGAGACTCTACAGGATTCTTTAATGATCCAGGTTGTTTTTCTGAGAAGTCATTAAAATGGTCTATTAAACTGCTAAGAAAAGAAGAAATAGCTCCTGTTTCTTTGGAGGATTTTTGTCTTTGCCACTACAAGAAAAGTCACATTAAATGTTTATCAAATACTTGGGCCACAATATATCATAACATAAACTAATTCAAGGGAGACACTTTGATTACACTACAAAATCCTTTAGTTGTTATAGTGTTTCTTGGAATTTATCAGAAAAGGATGCATTTTTCTAAAAGCCATTTCTAGGATAGCAGCATTTAGATTTTAGTCCTGATAAAGGCTCACTTTCCATTCATAGTCAGAACCTAAATGTGCTCTTCTTGTACCTAAACAGATAATAAGCACTCAGCACACTCCCCCTTCTTGACACAACACACTGAGACTAATCACACATAATTGGAGAGGAGGAGCAGAGGGGCTGGGCAGGCTATTGTGTCCAAAGGACAAATGGTCAGTTTATGAGGCTTTTGTCTGATGCATAATTTCTTATATATCTACAGGAGGAAAAGTCCTGCTGGAAAAAAACCATACATATACACATATATAAAAAAGACCTTTGACACTTAAGCACATGAGGACATTCCAATCATGGATAGAAAAATCAACAGTGGAATTAAAAAAAAAAAGCAGAAACATCTGAGCATGCAATAGGTGCACTTTTAAAAGATCTTAAGACAACTATTTCCTTACTAATTAAAAGTGAATGCATTTACTACTTTATAGTCAGTTATATAAGAC